CCAAGCATCGCCACGCCACCGGCGGCGAGGGCTGCAGAAGCGACGCGCAAGGGAGCCTGTGGTAGACCTTCACTGGCCCGCTCGATCTTTTCCTTCGCAATCAAGGCGCCGACTTGCGCTGCACCTTGCGCAGATGCTCGGCCCAGGCCAGACAAGATGGCTTCGTTCTCTCGCTGCTCAGAAATGTACAGCCGCTGCTCGTTTCTCTTTCTGGCTACAAGAGCTCCCACCTGCGAAGCAAAGACAGGTGCAAGTGCCCTCGGGATTCCAGGCTCGAGGCTAAGAAAACGCCTCGCAAACCACCTAATTAGCGATCTAGCTCTCGACATCCGACTGTTCGTCTACCCGTATATCAAGGTGGCTCTTGTTTGTATGGCTACGGCTACATTCTATATCTCACATGTTTTGTTTCTTCTCTCTCTCTCTCTCTCTTATCTATCTTTCTTCTTTCGCCAGGGCTATGGTGAAGGGGTAGACCCTCCCCCTCTCTCTCTCTCTCTCCCTCACTGTCTGCCAAGGTACGCCTTCCCGTCCCGCTGGTGCACCTACTTCTGTCTTTATGCCTCTCTCTCACTCTCCCTCTTCCTGCCTTCTAGCGCCTAACTCTACCTTCGCCAACTGACTCTTCTCAGAGTCTTCCTTCCCTTCTTCTGCCGTGCGCAGGAGATCACCAGAGTAAAGGAACCCGTCTCTCGACCTGTGCACACGCTACGGCTACGGGGCTAGCAGGAATCGAAAGGACACGATGCGAACCTCCACGCCCTGGCCGATGGCCGCTTTTACCTCGTCCCGCAGCTCATAGCTCGTTTTCTCACACTCCACCATTCGAGTTTCCAGCGTCTTCTTGTCCAACTCCCCACGGCCTGACTGCCGGGTCTGAAAGAGCTCGCCCTTGTTGGACGTCACCTTGGGCTTCAAGCAACTCGAAGCCAAAAGCCCAAGTACTGGAGCAGGGCAACACCCCTCCAAAACCCGAAATGAAGGCCGCAAAGGAGCTGTTTCATAGAATTCGGAGTGGCCGATGGGTGCATCCACAGGGCTAGCATTCTTGTACTTTGTCCTCTTCGTGCCATCCTCCAGCAACGGCGAAGGACGAAAGGCTGTGTCGGAAATCAGGGGGAAGACCAGACTCTTCTTGATGGCTTTGAGGCCAGAACTTTTCGGCTATTGGGATGAACACCGGCAGGCATGGATCTCTGACCATCAACGTGCTTCAGTTTGAGAATACCCAAGCCAGCTTCTACACTGGAGTTTCTGGCTTTGTGGTTTCGAGTTTGGGGTGACACATCCTCACATATCCTTGCAGGGAGAAGAAAGACCTTCTTCTCCTGTCCTAAACCCTAAACCCTAAACCCTAAACCCTATATACCCTAAACCCTAAACCCTAAACGCTATATACCCTAATCTCCTAGCCCAGGCCTTGGTCTTCTTCTCTGCCGTGTAGTCGATCTCCTCCATCCCATCTGAACGACTCTTGGTCTTGACCTCAGGGTCGTTCGAGCTTGATGTTTTGATAATCGCCCCCTTTATGTGGGGGGGAGGGGGAGGAACCTTATATATGTAATCTGTACCTCTGGACACATCAACTCAAGTGTCGAAGAAGCCGTCGCACCTCTACGAGCTCGCCCTGCGCATTCGTGGTGATTCGCGTGGCACCTGCTTCGACGATGCCTCCTTTTTTATCCCGGGCAGCTTCTGCTTGCTCTTCTTGAAGAGGATTCTCCCGCGGCGAGCCTGTTTGCGGATTCTTCCACTTGTCGCGCGCCTTGTTGTCTGTAACGAGCCCGACTGGCGGCGCCTTACTGCCTCTAGCGAACTTGCCCTTGTTTTTGCCCTCAAGCACGTGTTGGCGATTCGATTTCTCGTTGTACTTCGCATAGGTTTCACCATCGACTTTGCAGTTCTCCTTTTTGCACGCCTGCGTCGGCCACCAAGCATTCAGGATGCCATTTCGGTTCACCTCTACGTGGATACGCTTGTTGTTCCCAGGCAGCAGCACTTCTGTGCAGAACCAGTCTTTGCCCACACTGTCGCAGATCTTTGCCGGATCGGTTTGCCCGTACTTCACGGCCAGGGTCCTGGAAAGAGAAACCCCTTGAAAGAAGCAAATGGAACAGACTTTCCCTACGCCGGCCTCTGAACTTCGCGTAGCTCCTCATGGCCAAGCTCATGCTTTTCCGAGACAATGTGCCCCTCGCGCGTCTCCTTCTGACCACTGGGCGTCGGTGCGATCGGCACACCCGGCCGCTCCTGATCCTTCGCTGCCTCCTCCTGAGGCTGCGTCTCATCGCCGGCAGAACCATTACCTGGAATGTGAGCAAGAATGCCTACACAACCTACACCCAAAGTGCCGAGCTTCTTGGGTGAACGGGAGATGGGAAGTTGTTCTGAATAGGAGCCCGGGTTGAGCCCTGTTCAATCACAATGCTCGGTTGTTCGACTTCTGTCATCCTCTTTCCACTCGCTCTGATTAGGTCCCTCATGAGTAACATGTTAATTGTTGATCCTGACTCAGCCTCAACTCTCAACTCCCAGAAATACAAAGAAGCGAAACTCAACGAGCCTAGGGAGACCCCGAAGAATCGCACAAGAAGCCTCAAAGAATGCATGAGACCCTTCTACAAGCACCCAGCGGCCTGGTATCGTGCAGCATGTGTAGCGTTCAGTCTTAATCTGCGTCAAGTAGATAGTGTTTCGGACTTGAGGGTTGCCTTCAAGCATCAGTTCTCAACGGCCTGTACACACGGGGTCGGAAAAACGAACCTCGGAATTCCGGGCCCCGGTTTCGGGTGTCGCACGGCAATCCTTGGAACTTAGCATTCGCCGAATCTAATTCCTGCGACCTGGCCCTAAACCCAAACCGTTCAGGGCAACTTTGGACGGGTCGCCTGGCTCCTGGCCCGACATCTTGCAGGGGCAGGCGCAGCCGGCTACGCGCAAGGCCCTTTGAGCCCAGCGTCTGGCGTGGAATTCAAGCATAAAAAGCTCTCTGAAACTTAGACCTCGACGCCCAAGCCGAAACCGATACCCCGAGTGTGAAATCCCTAAACCTCTGAACACCAAAGCCAAAGCTTAGATTCTGACTGACTGCTAAGCTTTGTGGGGAAAAAGTTGGAGGCTGGAGCATCTGCTAGATGTTCCCGGGAGTGGAAGGATGTTCGGGTTCCGGGCGGGTCTCGGATTTAGGACCCTAAACCCTAAACCCTAAACCCTAAATCCTAAACCCTAAACCCAAAGTCCTAAACCCTAGACCCTAAACCCTAAACCCCAAAAGCCCCAAACCCAGAAAATCCAAGGGCCCCAAGCCAGGCAGCTGAAGCCTTTCGCTGGTCGCTG